TTTTTTTAGTTCTTTTTAATAAGAGAAATAGAAAACATTTTTAATCTTGAAAACGAGATTCTAGTACTCAGCAATGTAGCAGAAGTAGACTATAAATGCATATGTGAACAAAAGAGTGAAAAAAATCCCCAGATAAACAAACCCCCCTCACCCAAGAGAAAATACCCAGCAATTAAACAAAGGATGTCCTGAGAGGGTCTGCTAATCTTTCATGACCCTAAATTTCTTTCTGTTATTTTATAATTGAAGTATTAAAAAGGAGGTGGTAAACTGCCTAACTGCAAATATAGAGCTCAACAAATTTTTACGAATGTATACACCTACATAATCACCACCCATATCAAGATTTCTATCATCCCAAAAAGTTCCCTTATGCCTCTCCTCAGTCAATACCCCATTCTTCAGAGGGGACCACTGACTTCTATCACTACAGATTAGTCTTGCCTATTCTTGAATATCATATAGATGGAATCATGCAGCAGTACTATCTTACGTCTGGCTTCTTTTACGCAACTTAATGTCTGTGAGATTCATTCATGTTGTTGTTTGTCAGCAGTTTGTTCCTTTTTATTGCTGTTCAGTATACCATTGCATGAATATTGCACAATTTACTAATCCTCCCATTGCCAGAGACTTAAGTAGCTTCCAGTTTTAGGAAATTATGAATTTAGGTACTATGAAAATTCTTTTACATGCTCTTTGGTGGATATATGGATTCATTTCTCTGAACCACAGGTATTAAATGAAATTTATGGAATGCCATTGTTTTGGATTGAGCTCCTGCACTAGGCCCAACAGACCAGATATATAAAACCAAGATGCAGTCACTCGTGCTTAGTGTCACGTAATCAAACAGAACTTTGAAATGGGCCAATTTTCCAAAAAACAAAAGATTCACAGGAACCAATCAGAAGGGGGCCCAGTTAACCTGAACTGGCACAATAAGTCTTTCCTGTTTAACCCTATAAGGAAAGTAACTTTGAAATGACCAATCTACTTTTTGTTCCCTGTTTCTGCTTTCTTTAGCCATTTTCTGTGTAAAGTCAATCTCCTCTGCTCAGCTCATCAAAGTGCCTTTTCTAAATCTTTAGATGAGATGCTGTCCAACTCATGAATCACTTTTAAAAGCCAGTTTGATCTTCAAGCTAAATATGTTGTAATTTTGTCTTGACACAGGTTAGGCCTATGTCTGGCTTTACTGGACACTGCCAAGTTTTCCAAAACCATTTTACACTCCCACCAGCAAAGTATGGGGGTTCTAGTTGTTCCACATCCTCACCATGGCCTTATTTTAAATGGTAATATACTTGAAAGACGTAAGGTAAAGCCTAGGATCTACTCAAAGCAGGAAATCAGATCAAGACCAAAAAGCTGGGACCCCAAAAGGCAACATCCTCAGTAAAAGATGAACTAGAGAAGGAAACAAACAAACACACAAACAAACCAACCCATCACATCCCATAGAAGTCAGTAGTTTTGCTTTTCTTAGTTTTGGCTCTGAGTAGAAGGTGGCAATAGTGGTGGAGTGGGGTCTTCCTAACCACAATATGGCATCCACTCAAGTTTGGGGTTAGAATGCAATTACTTTTGTGAGGCCAAGTGAGAATTTAATGTCAAGTGGTCCTGGGTAGGTAGTGTTCCTGGATGCTTGGGAGAAGCAAATGCAACTCTCTCTGGAAAAATACACCCTAAACCCAGACCAGAAATAATTCACACAAATAAAGTCCAATGAGCTCACAATCAAAAATTGATTTTAAAAAAGAAAGGAAATGAGCCACCACAGGAAGAAGCAACTGAATCACACAAAGACTGCAGATATTATAAGTAATAATAAAAAGTACAAATCAGTTGAATAAATGAGAGTATCAAAGTATAACCAAGGACTAAGAAACTGATTTTTGAGTGCCAAATAGAATATGTAGAAATGAAAATTATAACTGAAATAAAAATCAGCAGATAAGTTAAACAGAAAATAGGACATAGGTAAAGAATTTATGAACTAGAAAAATGGAACTGAAGAAATTATCTAAATTGTGAGTTAGAAAATATGAGCAGTTAATAGACACAAAAGATAGAATAACATCTACAGAATCTAAGTTCCAGAAGAAGAAAGAGAAAATAAGGAAGATATAATTTTACAAAAGATACAAGAATTTTCCAAAACTGGTTAAAGATTTCAGAAGCCTCAGATTCTGGAAGCCCAATAAATCCCAAGCAGGATAAGAGAAAGAAATACACAGGTAATCAGTGAAACTGTAACACAAAAAGAATTTCTTTTTCCAGACAAAAAGTAAATAGAACAATAGAAAAGAATAGAGTCCAGAAGAACTATACGCATGCAGTCAATTTTTGTGAAACTCACTAAGATAATTCAATGGAGAAAGAAAAGGTTTTTCAACATTGGTCCTAGAACAACTGGACAGAGGTTTAGAAAGTAAGATGAATCTTGATCCTGATCCCACATACAAGTTCTATATGGTCACACACCTTCATGAATATATGAACATAAATACAAAAATGATAAAACAACCAGGAGAAACCGTAGGAGAATTATCTTTGCAATCTTAAGAAAAACAAAGACTTCTTAGCAAGGGCCCAAAAGACTTAACCAAAAAAGACTTAACTAAGTATAAAGGGGGAAAAAAAAAACCTGCTCAATGACAGACACTACTAAGAAAATGAAAAAG